CCCTGGCAGAGGCAAGCTTGGGCAGTGGCAGTGCAGGGCACAGTAGAGGTGGCTCGTGGCGAGGGCAGCTCTGCGTTTCCCTGCAGTGCAGGGAGCAGGGGGCCCTCAGGACCTACCTCCAGGGTGGATGGCAGCAGTACCTCCACTGGCCCTGCCTGCACTCGCATTCTGCACCGGTCGACCTCCTCCACCTCCTCTCCGTAGCTCAGCTCCACCATGTGCTCCTTCACCTCTATGATCCTCTGGGCCACTGCAGGCAGGGAAAGCCCCCAGCACAGAGGATAAACCGTCTGCTCCAAGCGCACCGCGGGACGGAACGCGGGGCAGCTAACGCTTTGAGGAGGGGGGATAACCCGGCACAACAATGGCAGAAGGGGCAGAGCTCCAAGCACTGGCCCAGGGACAGACACAGGGCAGGCCCCAAAGCTGACTGACCAGGAGACCTGGCTGTGGCAGTGCTCTTCTCGCTCTTACCCTCTGCCTTCTCAAAGGTGATGAGAGCTGAGCTCCCCAGCAGAGGGTAGTGGATCCGTGGGGTGAGCATCAGCTTGTCCATATCCTCCTTGTTTGTCACAAGTCCCTTGAACACCATCTTCTTCTCTGGCAAGGCAGGCAGCATCTAAGTTTGAGGACACAGATAGCACCTGGAGAAGACTGGACTCTTGACAGGGCCTGTCCCTGACAATCCATGGACTAGAAACAACTCATAGCTCAAAATAAACAGCTGGACAGCCTCAGCAATCTCTCCTAGGATCTGGCTGTGCCTAGGGTCCCAAAGTCATGACTGAAGCTTCTGCCCCTGGCAGAGGAGTGACCCACTAGCAGGGGCTGTGCGCGTCACCACGCAGTGCCCAGCTGCATTCACCTGCGGCCTCTCCAGCCAGACCCTCACCCCCTGCCAGCAGACCCACGTGCCCACACACACTCCGTTACCGTCGCTGGGTCCTCACAGAGGACCCTCTTCTTCACTTCTTCCAATTTCTTTTTCAGCACCTGCTTCTCCTGCCTCAGTCTGTTCTCCTTATCCTTTGCTAAAAAAAAGTCCATCTGGAAGGAAAGAAAGAGGGGGCAGTAAGGGAAACACCAAGATGCGAGGGGCAGCAGTGTGTTCTCCATCTCAGGCACAGTGCTCTTCTTGGACAGGGCTCCACCCACAACGTTTTTCTGCTCTTGACTGCCTGCAGCCCTGCCCCTGCTCCTTATGTTTCACTACAGCCCTTCCTCTGTCGCCCAGCATGAGCTCCCTTCTCAACACAGCCCTGACATGACATCCTGTGAAACCTTTGTGGGGTCCAGAGCAAGGTGATCTCAGCAGTGAGCCGAGTGATGCAGCCCCACGGCCCACTGCCACTTTTCCAACCCCGAGATGGGTCTCCTGACCACCAACCTGCCAGGCCATCTCTTCCTCTTTGTTCAAAGGTATTTGTTGCTCAAAATTTTTAAGAAGAAGTTCTCCCTCCTTCCTCAGCTCTCGTGTCCTTTGCTCCGCAGCTTCCTTGGCCATTTGTAGCTTTGCATGTTCTTGCTCCAGAGCACTGCAAAGCTCCTGTGAGAGGCACCATCAGACAGCAAGACCCCGCAGACATTGTGCCACCCTCTCCGGCTCTCCTGCCCCAGCACACACTGCTCG